AGGGAATAGTAGTTATCGCCTCATTTAGCAAAATGAGATACCAAGTGATATGAGTGATAAGGCGCACATGCTCCAGACTCGGAATGACAACTAGGGTAGGTCTCACCTACTATCATATCTCTTGATAGCTTAACAATATAAGCAGACATCACATACCAAAACTTCATATTATACACACACAAACAAACAACTGAAACATGTCTAATAAGAGCAATTGCAACTTTATCTATTATAGCATTGTATGTTTAAATTTGTATATTTGTAATACCAAAGATCCACCATGGTCCTTACACCCCCTTCCGGGTTGTAAAGCAAAAAAAACTATCTCAAAATTTATGCACAAATGAAGAAGATTAACTCATATTCTTGTGTGCCACTTTCTTCTAGCAGCTTTTGGATAGAGATCCACTTCAAAATGTTGAATATGATTCTACTGATTTCAATAATCAAGTCCCAGATCCTATCCTTCTGCAGTCCTTAATTTTTTATAAAAAAATGTTCATACTAAATAATTCATCAGGCTATCTTTTGTTCTATTTGTTCACCTAAACAAAAAGCCAACCATGTAGACCAAGGAGGAAATAAGCACAATAATAAGGTATTAGGATGAAACTTACTTCTATATCGTGTAGAAGTTCCAGGAAATTCAGTGATGATGCCATCAACACCCGTTCCTTGAACAAATGAATTGATCTCTGTCGTTGGATCCGAGAAGAAATCCCACGGCTGAGACACGTACTCATTTGTAAGAACATACACAAACACAGAGAAGCCTGCAGATTGCAAATTTTTCACCAAATCAGTTTGGCCTGTGATGAATGCTTCACTCCTAGGATATACAGAATCCTTGTTTATTGCCACGGAAGTGGCAAACTTCTTTATGTCAGCCAATGATGCTGAATCAGCATTACTAATGGATTCATCGACCCTGTAAATGCATGAATAGCTGGTTTGCTTCTTGAATTTGGTTAGCACTGAGCTATTTGTGGACTGAATCACAACTTCCTGAACTGTTTGATTGTGAAATCCTGCATCTTTTAGTGCTTTGATGACAGAATCTGTGACACTGTATCCTATATTCTCCGCAAGATATGCCGCATTCTGTGAAGGGAAAAAAATGTTACTAGGTAAAGGTAACTAATGCTCTGCTGAGAAAGATCCACTATTAACACTGGAAAAAATATGATGCCGGAGACTCAATTTGTTTCAAAGATGAACATTGATCAATTCAGTGTTCAATGATTCTATTGAGAACCAATTTTCCTTGCAGCAAAAGCACTGCTTGTATAGAAAGACTTGTTAGATACAGCAACATATAACAGAGATTTTAAAAGATACCCTTGTTGGTTATCTTGTTCTCACCTCAATAGTTATCACGATTCCAGATAAATCTTTTCCCTTTGCATAGTTCAAAAATTCTGATAATTTTGTAAACTTCCCGGCATTTTTAAATCGTGGATTTCGCACCAACTTGTACTGTAATTCTGGGTTTGAAATAGCAGCTGCAAGGGAAAACACCATTAATTTGCTGTCTGGAAAATTATTAGGCCATTCATTTCTTTTTCCTTTTGTTTTATTATTGATTGGTTCCGTACATCTTTATTGCTCTAAGTACAAGGCATCTTAGAGTAAAAGCTGCAGAAATAAAAATTCAAGGATTCAAATCATTCAATACCCATGGACCATATATTTACAATGTGTCCGTTAAGTATTACTAAAAAAACAAATAGGAAAAAAGTAAATAATAGCCTTAGAATAACATTGAACATCATTACGAGGACTAGGAAGCACCAAATGACTTGTATGGAATGTGAAAAAACTTGCTCTCATTTGTGCTTTACTCAGAGGCTTTTATAGCAGCCGTCATTACTGATCTATAATCTACTTTCACAAAGGATATCATGTTATTGTAGGAGAACTTGTAAAGTTTGATGGCTAGTCATTTTCTTAGTCCTTCAATTTTATCCTTCACAAGCACAATGCATCAATTCATTTCACAAGTGTCAATCATGTACTTGAAGGTAAGTGATATGCAAGTTCTAGAGAGAGCATTTAATGAGAACAATAAGAAAGGTGTATGTGTTGGAATATCAAATTAAAATGCTAGAATAAATGAGTTTTAGAAGTGCAAGGGTCATAAGTTTAGAAGGTGAAGAGACATAGGTTATGGAAGAATAAGAGTAACTTACTCATTTATGACATTTATCTTTATGGCATTAAAATAGGAGTTTAATTTGTGACTATTGGTATGCCTAGACGTTTTTGTTTTTGAAGCCTATATAAAGGGCTATTGTAATCCTTGTTTGATATGAAGAGAGAAAATTAAAGAAATATAAGTGAGTTCTTCATTTGAAAGAGTTCCAAGTTTGTAAACTTAAGAGTCATCAGTGGTATCAGAGCCACTTGATCCAATTTTCCCATTCTCTCTTCTTCTCATGGCTACGACAAATAATCTTGTCAATCCTCAAGTGCCAAAATTATTGAAAGATAACTATGAGAGTTGGTCAATCCAAATGAGAGCCTTATTTGGTTCTCAAGAGTTGTGGGAGCTGATCATTGATGGGTTCACGGAACCTACACCAGAAGTAGAAGCCACCTATACCGCCGAAGAGAAGAAGGCTCTCAGAGAACAAAGAAAGAAGGATAGCAAGGCTCGTTTTCTACTCTATCAAGGGTTGGACGAGTCTACCTTTGCGAGAGTTGCCGAAGCAACGACAAGCAAGGAAGCATGAGAAATCCTTGCGACCATCTACAAAGGTGTCGAGCGGGTGAAGCGAATTCGTCTCCAAACTTTGAGGGGCGATCTTGAAACCGCTCAAATGAAAGATGAAGAACAAATCTCCGATTATTATTCACGATTACTTCTAATTGTGAATAAAATAAGGAGAAATGGAGAGAAGATGGAGGACATCCGAGTGATGGAGAAGTTGCTCCGATCACTCACATCAAAATTCGAGCACGTGGTGGCGGCAATTGAGGAGTCAAAGAATTTGGAGGATATCTCAATAGAGGAGCTCTTGGGATCTCTTCAAGTTCATGAACAATGAATGCAAAAGAAGGCTAGTTCTATAGTTTTGGAGCAAGTACTAGAGTCAACATTGACTCTAAGTAATCAATGCTCACAAGGAAGAGGTCGTGGTCGTGGTCGTGGTAGAGGCAGAGGACGTGGTCCCCAACAGCAAACCACTCAAAATCAAGTGGAGATCCAAAGCTTTAGAGGACGAGGACGAAGCAATCGTGGAAGATCCACACCTGGCCGTGGAAGCAACAAGAATGTTCAGTGCTATAACTGTCACAAGTTTGGGCACTATGCTTCAAATTGTTGGCATAAAACTGAAGACCAAACCAATCTTGCCGAAGCAACAAATGATGTGGGTAACAACTCTACGCTTCTTCTTGCTAATGATGATTCAAGTGTTGAGAATGATGCTTGGTACCTTGACTCGGGTGCTAGCAACCACATGTGCGGGAAGAAAGAACTTTTCATGGAACTCGCAGAAGGAGTTCATGGAAGTGTGAGCCTCGGAGATTCTTCAAAACTCCCGGTTGAAGGCAAAGGGAAGATTAAGATCTACCAAAAGGATGGTAAGCCCGAGTATATTTCCGATGTTTACTATATTCCTAACATGAAAAGTAATATTCTTAGCATCGGTCAATTACTCGGAAAGGGATACAAAGTATATATGGAGAACAACCATCTTTGGTTGAAAAATACAAATGGAGGCCTCATAGCTTGTGTTAAGATGACAAGGAACCGCATGTTTCCCTTGCATCTAAACACGAAAGTCGACAAGTGTTTTCAAGGACTCATGGAGAATGAGTCATGGAGGTGGCATCTTCGCTTCGGTCATCTAAACTTCAGCGGTTTGAAGTTGTTGTCTACAGCTGGCATGGTACGAGGTCTACCAACAATTAATCCACCGAATCATATTTGTGAAGGTTGTGTAATCGGCAAGCAACCGCGACTTTCTTTTCCCAGTGGAAAATCATGGAGAGCAAGTGTACCATTGCAACTTGTTCACACCGACATCTGCGGACCGATCGATCCCGTCTCTTTGGGAGGTAATAGATATTTTATAACTTTCATTGATGACTTCAGTAGAAAGTTGTGGGTGTACACTCTTAAAGAAAAATCTGCTGCCTTTACTACATTCAAGCATTTTAAAGCTTTAGTTGAAGCAGAGAGCGGCCACAAGCTAAAAATTCTTCGATCTGATCGAGGTGGTGAGTACACCTCAAATCTGTTTCAAGAATATTGCAGGAAGCAAGGTATAAAAAGACAGTTTACTACTGCCTACACACCACAGCAAAATGGCATTGCAGAAAGAAAGAACCGAACCATCCTCGACATGACAAAAACCATGCTCAAAGAAAAGGGATTGCCAAAGCAGTTTTGGACAGAAATCGTGGCGTGCTCAGCTTATTTGCTCAACCGATGCCCCACAAAGATAGTGAAGAACAAGACACCTCAAGAGGCATGGAGCGGTTACACGCCCAGTGTGGCACACCTACGAATTTTTGGTTGTGTTGCATATGCTGAAGTACCTGAAGTCAAAAGGAAGAAGCTTGATAATCGCGGTGAAAAATGCATTTTCATCGGATATAGCGAGGAGTCGAAGGCATACAAGCTCTACAATCCACTAACCAAGAAACTAGTTGTTAGTAGAGACGTTGTCTTTAATGAAGAAGAAGCATGGAACTGGAGCAATGAAGATCAACCAGTGGTGAATGAACCCGATGAGTCTCTGCATGAGGAACCATCACTACGTACACCACCATCTCCTCCACACTCTACACCCTCTCCTGCAAGAGGATCTCCATCTTCTGGGGAAGGTAGTAGAAGCGAATCTACCATGCAACGAGGTCCCATCAAAATGAGAAGCCTCAGGGAGATCTATGAGCAGATAGAAGAAGACGAAGAGTCAAATCTTTTCTGCTTATATGCTGATCATGAACCTCTCACTTTTCAAGAAGCCGTAAAAGAAGATTGTTGGCGAACAGCAATGGAGGAGGAGATCCACGCCATCCAAAAGAATGACACTTGGGAGTTAACAACTCTTCCACAAAATCATAAGGCAATAGGGGTCAAGTGGGTGTACAAGATCAAGCGCACAGCAAATGGTGAAGTTGACCGGTACAAGGCGAGGCTTGTAGCGAAAGGTTATAAACAAAAGTACGACATCGACTATGAAGAAGTCTTTGCTCCGGTTGCTCGACTGGATACGGTGAGACTATTAATTTCACTTGCAGCTCATCACAGGTAGAATATATATCATTTAGATGTCAAGTCAGCATTCCTCAATGGTGTTCTTGAGGAAGAGGTGTACGTGCAACAACCAGAAGGCTTTCTTGTAAAAGGACAAGAAAACAAAGTGTACCATTTGAAGAAAGCACTTTGTGGCTTAAAACAGGCACCACGGGCGTGGAACGCCCGAATTGATGGCTATCTTCATCAAAACGGCTTCATTAAATGTCCCTATGAACACACCATCTACATGAAGAGGAATCATAGAGGCGAAGTTCTAATAATTTGTCTTTATGTTGATGATTTATTGTACACAGGAAGCAGTACCGAGATGCTTGCTGAATTCAAGGCGGCAATGTTCAATGAATTTGAGATGACGGACAATGAATTAATGTCCTATTTTCTTGGCATTGAAGTGAAGCAGCAACAAGAGGGGATTTTAATATCCCAGAAGAAGTACATGAAGGAGATCTTAGAGAAGTTCAAGATGAATGAATGCAACCCAGTGAACACCCCAGTAGCCATCGGAATGAAGCTATCAAGAGAAGGAGACAGACGTTTCGTTAATTCAACTCTTTTCAAAAGTCTAGTTGGCAGCTTGAGATACTTGACGATCACAAGGCCCGATATTACTTATGGAGTCGGACTTGTGAGTCGCTATATGGAGACACCGAATGAATCTCACTGGCTAGCTGCGAAGAGGATATTAAGGTATATCAAAGGCACACTCAACCTGGGTCTCTTCTATGCATATGATGAAAATGCACAACTAGTTGGTTACTCAGATAGTGACTGGGGAGGTGATCAAGATGAGAGAAAAAGCACCACAGACTATGTTTTCTATTTTGGGTCAACTGCATTTTCATGGACCTCAAAGAAGCAAGGAGTTGTAGCTTTATCTTCATGTGAAGCAGAGTATGTGACGGCTGCATCTACAGTATGTGAAGCAATTTGGTTGCGAAACATATTAAAGGAGTTGGATCATCCACAAGAAGACTCGACTGTAATTTTTGTGGACAACAAATCAGCCATCCAGCTTGCAAAGAACCCAGTACATCATAGGAGGAGCAAACAAATAGATACACGGTTTCATTTTCTCAGAGACCATGTAAAGCAGAAAACCATTGAACTGAAGCATTGTCACACCACTGAACAAGTGGCAGACATATTCACCAAGCCATTATCAGGTGAAACTTTCATGAGGCTAAGAGACATGCTTGGCTTAAAGACATTTTGATTTGAAGGGGCGTGTTGGAATATCAAATTAAAATGCTAGAATAAATGAGTTTTAGAAGTGCAAGCGTCATAAGTTTAGAAGGTGAAGAGACATAGGTTATGGAAGAATAAGAGTAACTTACTCATTTATGACATTTATCTTTATGGCATTAAAATAAGAGTTTAATTTGTGACTATTGGTATGCCTAGACGTTTTTGTTTTTGAAGCCTATATAAAGGGCTATTGTAATCCTTGTTTGATATGAAGAGAGAAAATTGAAGAAATATAAGTGAGATCTTCATTTGAAAGAGTTCTAAGTTCGTAAACTTAAGAGTCATCAGTATGAAAATGAACAACTATGTCTATGACTTTCCCCAGAAAAGAATGAAAACAAATGATCAAAGATCACCAAACAAAACACTATCAACAGTTAAGACTGTTAGCATAATAATGTGTGCCCTTGCCAATTAACAGCATCTTTGAACATAAAAGGCATTAATTAGTTTTGTTCAAGGCGCGTCTGGTTGAAACCTACGGTTCATAAGATAATTATTTCTACTACTATAATATGTACGAAAGGCTTTATAGTTGGTGGCATTCCTTTTCAAAATCAAAGCAATCAGAGCTCATTAGAACGTCACTAATTTCTCTTCTGTTTTCCCCCCTTTGTAGAAAGGAAAAAAAGAAAAGGAAAAAGATGTTGACTTACGTTTAAGGTTCTCTTGAATCTCATCCCAGGTGAAATTGAAGGTGTAAATTCCAGGAGTGGCCTTGAGTTGCGGGATAACAGAAGAACGAGAACGCATGGGTGATGTTGAAACTGTAGTAGAGTCCATGAGATCAATAGAGCTCATGCATACTAAAGTTCCATCTTTTGTCACTTGAACAGGACAGTCGATAAAGTCTGCACCATCTTCAACAGCCTGCTGATAAGCCAAATCGGTACAATCCGGGTAAACCCCACTAGCACCATTGTGCGTGATGACCACTGGATTTCCTGAAAAACAAAAGAAAAGACCGTATATGAACAGTTTTTCACAGTATTTGCATATGGTTAATATAAAGTTCAGTAGATGGAAATAACAAAAGAAGGAATACTGACCATGTTCAGACTTGTTCTTTCCCATATGAGAGAAACAGCCTGCAACAATTGTGACATTTAAGTTATAAACAACTCAGCAATCTGAATAAATCATGATATCCTTTTGCCTGAGGCATAGCTCAATAATTAAACAACAGCCAAGAATGCCAGCATTTAAGCTTCTGAACAAATCTTCACAAATTTCTAGTGTGCCTCAAACTCAATGTTAAATAAGGGATAATTGTATTTTCTTTGTAGTTAAGCAGTATAAGATCCTCTCAGTAAAGATATCAGCTGTGTCTCCTGGAGGACAATAATAATCACCTTTAAGATCATTAGATCACTATAAACTTTGAAGTTTTAAATAGTTACTCCAGACATTAACATCATAATGTTAGATATTTTTAGATAATATGAGATGTTATTAGATATGACTACAGTCCATACCCGTTTTGAAGTATCCTCCTAATCTCTACTTAAAAGAGGTTAGGGTTTATGGGAATAAGATCTTACTTTGCTCTCTTTCTGTAGGAAAATTTAGGTAAGTTGTATGATCTAATCTCTTGAATCTATTTGATAACATAAATTAAAAAGAAAAAAAATCACCTATTGCTTCTGATGCAGTTACAGGAAAATCTGTCAGCACACCATCAACAGAGAAGTCCCCATTGTCAACAAAATTGAGATACTCAGCAACCGGATCATAGCTATAATTGAAGCTAATAAACCCATCATTTGCAAATTCATAGGCATAAACTTCGAGCCCCTGCTTGTGAGCATCCAAGACAATGGAAGTGTGAGGTTGAAGATAAAGGTCAGATGTTACTGGCCATATGTAATTTCTAGGAACGAGAATTCCAGAGGCAAATGTCTTGATAAAGGTAAAATTTTGCAACAGAGAACCATAAGTTATGTTCATAGAAGGTTCGGCAATGTCTTGGCCGAGAAATTGGAAGATAAGCTTTGTCTTGCTCCCCATTCTTGAACCTATACTCGTGAGGAAAACCACTTCGGCTGAAGATACATAGTCTACGACAACTTTCTTTGAAACAGAAAGCAAATAGCTTCTGATGTTCAGTTTGTGTTGTGAGTAGAACATACTATGCTGCACGGAAAGAAAATCATGAATATTATGAATGTTATTTTTTATTTTTTACATTTCAAAAAAGATCACCGTAAATGAAAGAAACCAACATTTCTCAGAGCTGTACCTGTATATTTAACCAAAGGGCTGCTGACTTAATTTGTGTTTTCACTTCTTCAACAGTAAGGATTGGGTACAAGGTAGCATCGAACTTATCACTTCGAGATAAAGTTGATCGAAGCACTGATCAGGTCATAAAAAATAATCAGTATAGACTGTATAGCGTACAATCAGGTATCAGAAGCATATAAAATTGATTTTGGCTACATGCAATGCACGCCGAATAAATTCTTTTACGTCAATTATTTTCAATTTCAATTCATAGGGTAAATACATGCAAAAGATGAATTTTGAAGGAAAGATATGAAAATAACACATATTTTAGTTTTATATGGTGATATATACATGTTGATTGTTCTGCATGTGTGTTTGCATGGAACAATCAACACAATGTGATGTTAGATAAAGAATTTCTCAAGAGTAGGAAAAGATGTCTCTCCTTACTGATGATTGAAATCGAAGAGGGTAAACTCTTGTAAGAAAGAAAACCTATAATAATAAAAAGTTTTAGGAAAGCAAACTACAATGTTTAACATTAGGAATTATGCTTACCTGAGACTTGTCCTAAGGTTTTGAAGTCATAATCCACAGAAAACCATCCAGATGTTGGCACGCCATCAACAGAGTAAGTATTTGTTCCATTGGGAGCAAAGAATTGGATATTTGTACAATTATCTAAGGTCATGCTAGGAAGGCAAACACCAACACCATCCTTTGTCAATTGAACATCGCACCAAGTAATTGTATCAGGTGAACCAGCGAGATATGTAAATCCAAAAGCATCCGAACTTGAGTCAGGAAATAACCCTGAAAATCCACCCTTTGCGACAACTGCAGGAGCTTTACCTGTAATAAGAAGCAATGGTCAGTCTTAAAGTCCCCACCACTACAACACTACACCAAAACTCCGAAGATGTGGTAAGGGTTAGAGATTATAATTTTGTATTCTAACAGTCAGTTTGAAAGTAGAGGTGCAAATTTAAAAGGGTACACTGCAGATAACCCCCTCATCTATAGCAGTAGCACTTATCACCCCTCAACTCATTTATTAGCACTTATCACCCTCCACTCATTTATTGGCACTTATTGCCTCCCTCAGTTCATGAGGAATAAGGAGGTTATCTGCAACTTATCTTTCTCAAAATGCCAATCCAAGGGTGATAAGAGCTAATACAAGAGTTGAAGGGTTGTAAGTGCTCTACTAGAACTCCAAACTCACAGCTAGGTTTGAGGGGAACTTTTATATTCTAAAATCACCCTTTTTGTGGGCTGAACAACTATGGCTTTTTCTTAATTCGGGTATTTAGCAAAATTCTAATGGCATCAACTTGTTGCTAAGGGATATCTATTTTTTACTTAAAAACCATTATGAAACCTCTATAAATAAAACCAGATGACGAGCGACGAAAGCAAAATTTTGAACTAGAAACTCTTCAAACCATTTTAAACACGATTTTATGCTTTGGTGAACAGAAATAGCAGTATATAAACTCTGTTATGGACCTATTTATCCATCGAGCAATCTAAAATATGCATAAGTGAGATAAAAACTATCACTCACCAATGGACCCTTTCTTAATATTATAAGACACTTGTCGAATATGCATACACATATAAAGTGCTCATTCAACATATAAAATATGACATTATAAACCTTCTTCTGCATCCTTTTCACGGAACTTGATCATTTCAAACATGACTCCGTTAAATATGGCCGAATTACTTTTTCACCTTTCAATTATCTTCATCAAATATGCATGTACATGAACAAACTAACCATCCAATTTCTTGTCTTTTCCATCACTTTGTTTTCTTTTTGTTTATGAGGCCTTGAAGTAGATTTAGAGACATTTACAATTAGCCGAAGCTGTAATTAATAAACATGCATGCAAGCACAAAACAACATGAAACAATCTAAACATAAACGTGGAAGGGAGAGATAAGGGCAGTCACTATTTGTCAAATTTCGAAAGACTATGAATACACAACACATAAATTAGCTCCAAAATCTGAAAAACAGCCATCCCTTAACTTATTTTAACCAAACCCAACAACAAAAAGGATGAATCAAGCGCAACCCACTACATAATCAGAGCATATAAATAAAAACCACCACTCAATTCAACATCCATCTCACCTAAGAGTAAGACCCAATTGGATAAACAACAGTGATCTAACCCAAATTCAGCCAAGACCCACTAAAGAACCAACCAACTAAATAAAAAAACTACAATCAAGAACAAAATTTGAAGTGAAATTACCACTCAATGTGAGCCAAGGTGACTTCTTGCCGCCCTGTCCCGCAACCAAACCAAGAACCTGAAGAACCAAGAATGCAGCCATAAAGCTGTGAGCTTTCCATCGAAATCTCATCTCCCACATTGAGAACACCAACAAAGAGAATCCAACTCAGGATCAAAGAGAGAAATTAGAGAGATGAAGGGAGTTGGTGATGGTCTTTTTTGATGTCCAGCTGTTCTTGAAGAAACCGGTAGCTGACTTATTTATTGCCTTCTTTCCTCTAGATGCTCAGCTTTTGTTCATCTAGAGAAGAAGAGGGCCTTTTTATTAATTTCGTACCTCGCCTTAATTGAATTTCACCCAGTGCACGATGTGGGGGACCACTGTAGTGGGTGTGTTAGTGGGGGAGTACTGGAATCTCGTAATTTAGACTGTTCCCATGTGATGGTCGGATCGCCACAGCTGGAGCTGGCCGCTGTCCCTACGCTGGGGGGCGAAATTGAAAGATGGAATTATTTAGGGGGCCTCGTGTAAAAATGCGAGCCTTTGTATGATGCTAGTCAGAGTCTACTGTTATGATGACAGAATGCTATCTATTGCTTTCAGTGTGAGCTGGTTTCAGGAAATGAGTTTCGGTGTTTTTGTTTCGTTTGAAGAATTTATTATGCTTCATTGCAAATTTGCAATGCGAGGAAAGATGAATTTGTCTCATTGTTAAATTTTAAATTAGGGCAAACAACATCTAAAATTAAGGGTCTGTTTTGGCAACCCCTAAAAATTGGTCAACTATATTTTAGAAAGAATTTATTTTTTGTATGCCGAAAATGTCTCTTAAATTTAATAGTATTTTGTTCCATCTCCTTCTTAGGAAAAAAAACATAACCAATTTAACTCAAAATTGAGATAGGATTAGTCCTAATCTACTTTTGAGGAGTTTGACGAACTTATTGTAAGATAAACAATATAAATTAATCACAATAATAGATAAATAATGTATAAAAAATCACTGAGTCATCAATGTAATCAGAATGGAAATTTGATACTAACGCACTTATAAATAATAGCTTTCAGGCATTTTATTAAGTCCAGTCATATATTAACGCAAAATAATTCGTTACAGAAATTAAGCATTCAAACAATAGATTTATCTAAGATTAAATATAAACCCCCCAGATTAACGACGGAACTTTTCAATCGAATATGCAAGCGACCAACAAGAGAGCGGAAAAATTACTTGCAAAAAGGAAAGGGCGAAAAACAAATTAGATTCAAAACTCTATTATTCTTTTTTTTAATAACAAAACTCTAGTATTCTTAGTTATAAAATAAAATACAATCAAAATATATTAGACCTATCTTAAGTCGTACCCTTTGTTGTGAAGCATCCCTTTAATAGCTAAAAATCAAAACAAGTGCAGCATCAAGGAGTCACACTGTCACAGGGTGTGGTCGCCCTTTTCGTGCAAATATCGTTGCTCATAATATAATGGAGGAATATATGAAGAAAACATGCACATGGTCCGCGGCGCCTGTTTTGGGCTGCTACACATGGGTGAAGATTGAGGAGGGAAAAAAAGAAAAGGAAAAAAAAACAAAATGAAACAAAACAAAGCAAAAACAAGGAGGGGGGGGNAGCTCTTGATATAAAGCTAAATTACTCATTTCAAAAAACTAGAAAAAATAAACTATTTAAATTTTTAAAATTGCACTCAACGACCCAAGTTATTGAAATATCTCGTAAACAGTTTTGATATTTCTAGAAATATGTTACGGTTTTCATTCTCATCTAATAATTTTTTGATTTGTGATAATTCGGACCTTTTCCCCTTGTAATATCATTCATTACCCTTTTATAATGATTGTAATGTTCTCGTGGTTTGTATAAAATGTTTAAAATTCATAGGGTTTTGTAAAATTTACTATAATATAAAACAAGGAGTAGCTTGCATGATAGTGTGTGTATATATAGAGAGAGTAAAACTCATATAAAATTAACTAGATAGGAGCACTTATCCACCAAATTTTTTATCCCTTCATTATGCTTTGAGTTTTATGCTACACATCAATGCTATCTTTAAGATTTGTGCATTCATTTATATTACATCACTAGTAGAAAATTTAGCGACGGAATTTCCGTCGCCAAAAGTCTTTTTAGGCACCCCTTTTATAGCGTCGAAACTTTAGCGACGGGATTTTAATTTTTCCGTCGCTAAAAGTTTTAGCGACGGAAAAACGACTTATAGCGACGGATTTGTCCGTCGCTAAAAGTTAAAAATCCAGTAGTGTATGCTAACACAAATCTCAATATAAAATCAATGGATAAAAAAATTGGTGGACAAAGGGCTCTTATCCACTTAAGTATATGAATATGTTTGGTATCAGCTTGGTATTAAAGTGACATAATCATCTCTACTCATTCAAATGGTTGCATATCCTCATGCATTCCTCAACTCATGTGAATGTGATATCTTATTTGAATGAGTGGAGGAGATTATATCACCTCACTACCAAGCATAAAATTTATGCTTGGTATCAAGCATACTCATATTTCTCAACATGAGAAAAATGGGTATGCTTGGTACCAAGCACAAAAAGTTGTGCTTGGTAGTGAAGTAACATAATCTCATCCACTCATTAAAATGGTTGCATATCCCCATGTACTCCTCAACCCATGTGAATGTGGTCCCCCATTTGAATGAGTGGAGGGGATTGTGTCACCTCACTACCAAACATAAAATTTGTACTTGGTACCAATCATACTCATATTTCTCATATGAGAAAAATGGGTATGCTTGTGGTACCAAACATAAAAAGTTATGCTTGATAGTGAAGTGACATAATCCCCTCCACTCATTTAAATGGTTGCATATCCTCATGCACTCATCAACCCATGTGAATGTGGTTCCTCATTTGAATGAGTGGAGAGGATTGTGTCACCTCACTACCAAGCACAAAATTTGTGCTTGGTACCAAACATACCCATATTTCTCATATGAGAAAAATGAGTATGATTGGTAGTGAAGTGGCATAATCCTCTCCACTCATTCAAATGGTTACATATCTCCATGCACCCCTCAACTCATGTGAACGTGGTCCCTCATTTGAATGAGTGGAGAGAATTATGTCACCTCACTACCAATCACAAAATTTATGCTTGGTACCAAGCATACTCATATTTCTCATATGAGAAAAATGGATATACTTGGTACCAAACACAAATTTTGTGCTTGGTAGTGAGGTGACATATTCTCATCTACTCATTTTTATTTCCAACCACTTCCCAACCCATGTGAATGTAGGCCCTAATTTTAATGAGTGGAGGGGAATATGTCATCACACTATCAAGCATAAAAACTTGTGCTTCGTACCAAACATACCCATCTCTCTCTCTCTCTCTCTCTATATATATATATATATATATATTTGTGTCAACTTAAGTGGATAGTGAATAGTGTGTCCACCAAAGTTTTTAACCACTCATATTACCTAGGGATCCTTGTATTATATAAAAAGGTGTTTTATATTAATAAATATGTGGCTATTTGTCCACCACTTTTTTTTCCATTGATTTTACATGTTGATCTAATATCTTTTTTGTATATATTGTACTAAATTATAATTTTCTATTGATTTTGAATGGCTTATGTTTAAAATTGTTTGTAAAATACATTTGTGTATTCTCTTATAATTTCTTTTCCTAAGGGCCTGTTTGGATTCGTAGGGGGTGAAGGGAAGTTAAGGAAAACTGAGTGAAGGGAAGAGAAGGGAAAGGAAGGGAATGGAAGGGAATTCCCTTCCCCTTGGTTACACCTAGGGCTGTCCATCCGGCCCGGCCCGGCCCCGGGCCCGGTTTAATTTTTTTAAGAATTTTTTTTTATTTTTTTTAAAATTTTAACAAAACCATAAATCATAAATTATTTTAACAAAACCATAAATCATAAATTATTATAAAAAATGTCATAAATGTAAGTAATAACTTGAAATGAAATGACATAAATTACAAGTACAAAAAATGATAAAAATAACTTCTTTATTAATAATCGGTAAATCCTTTATAAGTATAAATTTATTTCGAAATTCGTCGCATCACAATAGATGAGTACATCCCAACTAGGTTGGCACCTACTCACCCATATCACTATCATTTGCAACTTTTTTCGAAATAATTTAATTCAAATTTAAAGCTAAGAAATAAAAATTACAATTTTATGAATATTATCTAATCATTATATCTATCTGCTAGTCCCAACTCTTCAAATTTATCTTCAATCATAGCAATCCGTTCGATGCTTTGTGTTCGCTTCTCGTATCTCCACCAATCCTGTAAACATATCACCGCTTGTACAGTATACGGATCTAAGCATGTCCTGTGGTCGTCGATCAAACGTCCTGCTGTGCTGAAAGCGGATTCCGAGGCTACAGTTGAAACCTGCACTGATAGTAAGTCACGAACCATGGTGAAAATTATAGGATATGAAACTGATCCATATACTTTCAACCATTGCAAAATATCTAAAGCATTTCCTTGACATTTAACTAAGGAAGCAGATAAATATTCATCTATTTCAGAAACCTCTAATCCTGATGAAGTTCCAGATCCACCAGTTAGTTCAGCTACCATTGCATACCTATCAAAACTTACACTTTTACCTCGACCTGTGCTCGAAGCTGAAGGTGCCGAAGCTGAAGACTGTTGTGTAGCTACACCATATCTAGCTGCATACTCATCATATAAGGTTTGAAAATAATTTCTAATAGCTAAATAATGAGTAGTAGCAGTAAGGGTGGATCCATCATCTAAGTCTATAATCTGTCCACCATATAATGATTGTAACAAACTTCGAAGGCCAATTTCCTTCAAGCATGGATCAATAAGAACACCAATACCAAAAATATGAGGAATAGGCCTAAAATACTTATTAAATTTACTCTCCATTTGAAAAATTATATTTCCAAAAATATCATCCATACGATATTTTGTAAATTTTTTTTGAATATTTAAAATTTGTAAAGCAGCTAAAGTAATAGTTGGATAATAACAACCAGATAATAACATAGTAGCATCATAAAAAACTTGTAACATCTCATTTAATTTGCATATAACTGTCCATTCATCTTCAGTTATTTCATAAGCACTACCAGAGCTAGAACTAGAAGCATAAAAATTTATAAAATCATTTATAATTTCTTTATATTCTATTGCTACAGATAACATTGCATAGGTGGAATTCCACCTATGGTCAACATCTTTTGGAATTAGTCTAGGCTTATAATTTTTTCTTTTACAACATTGTTTCC